TGAGCCCATGGTAGGTCCCTCACCACATCACCTGGTTCAAGCCTGGGCTTAGATGTCAATACCACTCTCCCTATCTCCTCTCTTCCTCAGCACTCCTAGGTGTCTCTGCCTTCCAAGGGAGAAGAGCCCTACCTCAGGTACTCAGCACTCTGGTGGAGGAGGCTGAAGATATGTAACCCTGGGTATTGTGCCTGGCTCACAGGCACTGGTAACTGGCAAAGCCATTTGCCCTCTCTTCCCCTCCACACCCCCACAGGTGGGTCATGACTTTTAATATTTATTTATTGAAAGATCATATGGATGAAATATGAAAACGTGTTAAAAATTCAAACGCTAGTAATGTAAAGGCATCTGCCATCAAGCTTACCTAAGTTTAGGACCCAGGGCCAACATGGGAGGAGGAGAGAGAGTATGCCATGGTATTGGAGAACACACACACACACACACACACACACACACTCACTCACTCACTAAATATAAATCAGTGAAAGTGCAACCAATAAAAATAAAAATTATTTAAAACGAGACAAAGTCAATTAGAAGGGAACAATAATGATAAAATGCCCTGCCTCTGCAATGGTAAGATGCTCTCCTCCACATATCTCAATGTCACGACTGGTAAATGTAGGCCTGCTCAAATTACCTATTCAGCCGCCATCCAGCTTGAAACCATGTCTAACTTTCCTGCAGTATTGGGGGCTACATCCTCCAGGGTGGAAGGGACTTGAGGCAAGGAACAGACGATGAGGGAAGTGCTCAGAAACTGGAGAGCCGCTGCCAGTGTCCTGTGAGGAACAGCGGACACTTTCACTCAGAACTGTTGCTGCCAGATAGCCACTCTTCATCTTCATGGACAAATTCTCCCTAGGCCACGACTCTCTGCCCTTGTCACATGATGTCACATGATCTCAGAGCCCCAGCCCTGAAATACACACCAAAGGAAACTCAGCCCCCGCCCCCACACACACACTCACACATGTGCACACACATGCACACATTCATATTACATACTTGCACAGTCACACATTCACACACATGCATATGCGCACTCACAATATACTTACACACATTACTGTATATAGTTGACAGCCAACAAGTTTTATCTATTTTTACTCTAGGAAAAAGCTTGAGGAGGGGGTCTGGGACTTGGAGTTTTTTGCTCCCCCATGTTGCCTATACCCACGGAAGGCTCTTTGTGGGCTAGCAGCAGTCAAGACAGTGGTGTGGTACTCCTGGGGAAAATCTAGTGGGCACTTCTTCCTTGAAGCAGGAATACGTTCCTTCAGAATCGAGGAGCCACAGCTGTCAGGTGTCACATGCACACCTACTTGAAATCCTGGGACCACATTTACCTTATTGGGAAATGTGACATGTGTATTTTTAGAAGAGGACCCCACTTTCCTTTCATCTGTAGACTAGAAGCCATTCCCAGTGAGGCCTAGCAGAAGCCTTTTAGTCCAACTTCACCTGGGAGGTTAGCTTTCTGAGACCCAGAGAAGTTAGACTTCAGCTGTAAATCACACAGCGAGTCCAGGCTCCCATTCCCGATTCCCTGGCCTCCAAGCCTCCTCCCATGTACTCTACCGCAAGAAGAGCACAAAGTTGTTCTCTGCCTGAGCTCCCAATCCCGAGATCCCGAGCACAGCAGCCAACCTCTCTGCCCTTCATTTCCACATCTGTGCACTGGGGATTTTGAGTAACCAACCCAGGCATGGCTGTGAGGACTGAGCATGCCCGGTGGGACCCACATTTGCACTATTCCTATATCTCGTTGCTCCTGTTTCACACCCAGAATTGAGTGGATCTGCAACAACTGTGTCAGCATGGTCTCCCAAATATAGGGGAGAAAGGACTGTCATCAAATCCACTCACCACAAGGAATCCAGGCCCCCTTGAGACAATGGGACACTCACAAGGGCAGTATTTCTAGGTCTTATCCTTCTGTTTCCATGCAGCGCTGGGAACGAATCCCTAGGCTATCCAGCCCTGAGATATGAGTTTTATAGTCAGCATATTTTTGGATCCAGAAGTCCTAGCCCTCTATCCCTACCTCCTTAGGTATGAAGCAGTGAGGTCTTCCTCTTGGCTACAGAGCAGAACCGTGTACCCTGGCACACACCCTTAGAGACCGGAACCAGCACAGTGCCTGGCACGTAACGGATGCATGATGCAGTTTTGTGGACCAAATCACACAGGTGAAGATGCACACGGGAACAGGAAAGCCCAAAGCAGGGCTTGCTGCAAAGTGCATAGGGTGGCAGGCCGGACTGCAGGAGCAGCAGGCAAGCATCCCCCTCCTGGCCTGCTCATGGGAAGACGCCTTTGACAAGGCCAATAGCTGAGTCTCAGCCTGGCCCATCAGACCCAGAAGATACCAGAAGTACATGTTCTCCTCCTCCAACCAAAACAGATGCAATAACAAACGTCGTGGGCCAGGGGAGACAAGCAGGACAGGGAGACGGCTCATCTGTCTTCTTAATTGTCAACTCTGCTCCTAACAAGATTTTCCTCCCTGTTCTACCTTTAGGCTGATGCTGAACCGAGACAAACCGAGATATCCATCTTGCAGTCATGAATAGTGGCCTTCACAAAATGCCAGGGATGAAATGAGGCTGCTGCGTAGCTCGGGGAGGCTGTGTACTAACTAGGACCAGAAGGAGCCTGAGCCCTTAGCTCAGCAGCTTGGTGTCCTTGCTCTTAACTAGCTGTGGGAGTTTGGCAGTTACTGCACCTCTCTGACCTCCATTTTCTGGAAAATTACAGCCCAAAGTTTGGGAAATGGGGTGAGCCATGTGAGAACTGTATGCATGGAACCATAAAGTTATATGCATAGGAGAAGAGCATCGATGAGTTTCACCATATTCTCAAAGATATATGCACATGACCCCTCCCAGTTAAAGAGCTAAGAAATACTAGATGATATCCATCCGAAAATAACCTGCTGAGAATTTCCTATGTGTCCTTGCTCTGTACCAAGCTCTTGAGACTCAGATATGACAGGAGAGTCCTGCTTATGGGGTCCCCAGGGCCACTGATGCTCAGCACTATAGGAACATGTCCCAGGGCCACTGGAAACAAAGAAAGGGCAGCGTTAAACTTCTATGGAGAAGCTCAAGCTCAATGTTGCTGTTGATGGCAGCACGTGCATTCACTGGGCCAGTAAGTGGGGAGAATTTTAGATAGGACACCAGAGGCAAAGGCAGTGTACAGTCTAGGAACTGCCTCCATTGCAGCTGCAGAAGGCCGTGGGAGAAGCAGAAATGAGGCTAGAGAGGTTGGCAGGGGCCAGGTCAGGTAATGCCATGAGGGCACCCCCATCCTCTCACATCCTCTCCCCTACAACATTGGTCTAATTGCACAGGCCTGGATGGGCCACCACTTCCAGCGTCTATTTCCTTGAAATCTGAGCACAGGCTTTTAGCCAGCTGTGTGTTTAATGCAACAGCAGGAAAGAACCATTGCTCTGGACCCCATGGGTTTTAACAAAGGTATAGGTAGAAAACTCCTGGAAAACTATTGTTGTTCCCTGTAAAGTTGGCCTAACCAGGGGCTCCTAATAGTCCAACATCATAGTAGAGAAAAGAAGACACTGATTAGCCCAGTCAGTGGAATGCAGGGCTAAGGGGCATGTGCCCCTTGGTCGTCACCCAGCAAACAAAGGCTTTCAGTTCCTGCACAGGACCGCTGCTGGGCAGGCCCTCTCACCGGCTGCTTTTCTCTGAAAGCCTTTCCACCCTCTAACCACTTAGCTTTCAGTCTTCAAACTGACACTCCACCCAGCACCAGTTCTAGGAGCACCCAAGTTTAGAATCAAAGAACCCAGCTATTCAGAATTCTACACCCGAGTCGTGTGATTTCTTCCATCTTGGGACGGCAAGCTCCTTGAGACTAGTGTGCAGTTCTGTTGACTTTTTTATCTGAAAACCTTACCTGATGCCTGGTTCTGAACTTTTGTGCTTTTGATCTGGACCGTGCATCATTGCCTGGGACTTATTATGGCGCCTTGAGGTAGGAGGCTGGACTTGGAAGGTAATGTCAGCATGGAGTCTACTTCTGCTTCTGTGGGGAGCCAGCCACATGTTTTTCTGTGCCCAGCCACACGGGAGGTTAAGGAACCCTGTTTTGTTTACTCAGTCCTTCGGGACTGCACTTTAAACTAGCCATGCCTCTCCTGGCTGCAAGTGGCCCCTTTTGGTGCGTAGGACTTTTCACAAGCCTCAGAGGGCATCCTTGAAATGGAATAACCCCTCTCTCCTGGAAAATGCCCTTCCTCACCCTGCAAGTCTGCTTCCCAAGGTACTGGGGAAGTAGTAGACTGTGGATTTCTGCAGCCCAGGTTAGTGCACAGGGCGAGAGTACGTTCCGGCCAGGTGTTGAAAACATGGACTTTCCAGATCCTGTCTGGAATCGGCCAGTCTGCAGCGACAAAATACTAGGGTCAAAGATTTGACCTTAAAGGAGATGGGAAGGGGAGGGGAGCTAACCAAGGGGCGCGTGGGCTTGGCAAAGTATCCTCTGCCGGCACCTAGCACACCGATCCAGGGCGGCCCTCCTCCCTCTGCCCAAGGTCGTATCCCATCCTAGCTCCAGAAACTTCAGCCAGGAGCAGAGAGGTGCTGACTGGAAACCAGGAGCGATGTTTAGGAAGAAGGGAAGAGACTCAGCGATTCGCAGGTAGTCCCGGAGACCAGCGGGGAGGTGCCCCCCAGTCCTGCAAGCTGCCTCCAGGACCGCAGAGTCCCTCTGAGGGCAGTTGCAGGGGTCTGCACTACCTGAGTCTCAAGGACGACGCGGTCCCCTTCCCACTGACGCCTCAGTCCCCAGAACTGAAAAGCGAGAGCAGCTACCCTCCTGCACTGTCGCCGACCCTCCGGATGCCCAACTCAGACTGCCGCAGCCTCTGCGGGGACGCAGCGCTAGCAGGGGTCGCAGAGGGCGATGGGCGCAGCCTGAGTAGCTGAAGGCGGGTCCCCGGGGCCAGAGGGCGCCAGGCCGCTTACCTTGGCGAGCCACCAGGTTGTGGTTGGAAGCGACTGCCGTGCGGGCGCCCACCCGGCTTCGGGGTGCAGTAGCTGCGGCTGCACGATCTTCTGTGGCACGATCCTCCCTCCTCTGCACCGTCCGCGTCCTGGCACGCACCGCGCGCCGCCGCACCCTGCCGTCCCGGGCGCGCTCACCCTCCGGTCGCCCTCTGGCCGGCGGGCTGGGCCTGAGCCGGGGCGCACTCGCTGCAGGCACACCCACCACGCCGGCTGCGGGAGTGCAAGCGCGGGAGCCAGATCCCCGCTGCCGCCACCCGAGTCCCCGCCTTCCTGACGCGGCGCGGGCTTTGGTGTGTGGGAAGGGGCAGAATTGCGACACCGAGGGGGAGGGTCTTAGCCTCGGACAGAGTTCAGGAGAAAAACTTTTTGAAAAGAAACCAAAAAAGTCCTAGCCTGTATAAAGCGCCTTTCAGATGTCCCCAGGACCCCGTGCGGTTGTCTAAGTTCGTCTAGATTCGAGAGTCTAGAGGTTCCTGTCCCCACAATGACGGAGAATCAGTATCAGACAGGGTAATAACTGCCCAAGTCAGGACTCGAACCTAGGCCCGACAACTGAGATCCTGTGAGCAGTGAGGTCCTCGTAGGAGTGTGAGAGTGTGAGGGTCGTCCATCACTGGACTTAGGTGTTCCCTAAGCCGTTTTCCTTTCAATTTCCTTCCAAATCAATGCTACAACCCCACTAAAAATCCTCAGTCTCTCTTCATACACCCATCTGCGCTGCAGCTTTGTATTATTTCAACGTCACTAACCTCGAATGGACAAATATCTAAGGAGCATTTCGGGCAAAATCCAGAAAGAGAAGTGGGGTGGCTTCTCCTACCCATTAAAGAACGGACCAACAAAAGAAGGGGGAGATGACAGTCCACAGGTCTCCAGAGCCTAGCTGTGACCCACCTGGCCCACCTTCCTAGTACCCATGCCCCAGAAACAGCCAAAGGAGTTCTATTTTTGACATTGTGACCCAGATGAGGTAGGTAATTTTAATCAATGGGCACTTAATTTCCGTTTTGACAGTAACATTATTAGGATGACTTCATTTCCAGGAAGCTTTCAGGATAGCAGTAATTAATGGGAATGGAAATTTGACCTCAGTGCAGGGACCCAAAAAGGAGTTGGGGGCGGGGCTCCAAAGGAGAAGAGCCTCAGACTCTTCGAAAATCTGGTTTTCGTCATCCTGTGAAAGGTGATGATATGGGTGGAGAGTCATATCAGATGCATAAGAACCCAGATACTTGAGTAAGGTCTCTCAACTAAAAAAATCATCAGCATTTAAATAACATTGTTTTATGTGCATTGGTGTGAGGCTGTTGGACCCCCTGGAAGTGGAGTTACAGACACTTGGGAGCTGCCATGTGGGTGCTGGGAATTGAACCCAGGTCATCTGGAAGAGCAGCTATTGCTCTTAATTACTGAGCCATTGCTCCAGCCCCGTCTCTCAACTTTTTGACCACTCATTTAAAAATGCTGAGCCCGGGGCTGAAGAGATGGGCTAGCGGTTAGATGCACGTGCTGTTCTTGCAGAGGACCCAGGTTGGTTCCCAACATTGGCATGGTAGCTCACAACTGGTAACTTTAGCTACAGGGGACCCTACCCCTCTGGTACATCAGGCATGTGTGTACATGGAGCACATACATACAATGAAAATAAAATATTCGTACATATAAGAGAAAAATAAACAAATCTTATTTTAAAATGCTAAGCCTCGTGCCTATAACCAGGACTGTAAGCTCCTGAATTTGTGCTTCACAACGTTTTGTTTGGCCTCTCAGCATCTTTGTGAGATAGATTCAGTGTAGATCACTTTTTCCTTGGGGGGGGGGACAGGAATTTAGACAGTGTTTTTCTGTGTAGCTCTAGCTGTCCTGGAACTCACTCTGTAGACAGAGATCCATCTGCCTCTCTCGTGAGGGAACACACATCCGCCTCGGACGTGTTCCATGACTAGCTCAAGGTCACACAAGCTACTTGGTTCAGCTGGAACAGAACCCCGGGCATTCTAAGTCCCAGTCTTGGAACCCTTCTGGACGCTCTGATACCTCGAAGAATTTGTTCCTTGATTTCTGGGCACTGTGAGCCTAATTAGGCATGGGGCTGGCACTGGGGTGTGGAGGCACAGCACCTTTCCCGAGAAGATGGAGGGCAGTGCCAGACTGCTGTCCTCGAAAGCAGCTCAGCCTGATGACTCAGAGGAGGACCTTTTCTCTAGGGTAGAGCTGAGTCAGAGGAGCCCCAGAGCAAACTGGAGCAACCGGAGTGTCTGAGACCCAGACCAAGGCATCAAGAAAGGAGGGAGAAAATACACATGAAGCAACCCACCACCCAACTCCCTGTGCAGGAGCCACAGGCACAGAAAAGAAGCCTGAGCTAGAACATTAGCTATTTCCTGCCATGGCAGGAAAGCAATTGAGTTAGACTAGCATATGGACCCTTGCAGGGTCCTGGGAGGAAGAGAACTCTCCCAGGGAGCAGATCTTCTAGAATTTCAGGTTCAGACACCTCCACTGCAGACTAAGGGGACCTCTCAGACGGTGAGCATTTCTATTGAAAGCTGATTTAGGATGACTGGGCACAGCTCTGCTGCAGCCTGAGCCTTGCTGCAATCAGGACCCAGTACAGACAGGCTGGTGGTGTGTGTGTGTGTGTGTGTGTGTGTGTGTGTGTGTGTGTGCGCACGCGCGCACGCGCTCCCTTCCCTGTCTCCCTCCTTGCTGGAGTATGGAGTGCAGGAACATTAGTGTGTATTCATTGTCTGCCCTATGCCAGACACTGTGATGAGCATAACATCTTCTTTACCTATCTCACCGGAATCCTCACCATATCTATGAAATGGCTGTCACTCTCTTGCTGAAGGCAAAGAGGCAAAAGCAGGAAGGCAGGTCTTGGTGACCAGAATACTGACTTTTCCAAACTGAAGGCATGGAAGATACATTTAGGTCTTGCTCCAAGAGAGGACTGTGCAGTTGCAAGCGGCATGGGTTAGCAGACATCATCCACACACAGTAACTCCTACAGTCACGGGGTGCTGGCAACAATTAGGGAGCAGCTCTCAGAGGGGGGATTCTGCGAATATAGACTGCCAGTTCTCATCCTTCTCTGATTCTGTAAACCCTGCACATAGATTCAAGCACTGAAACAATGAATAATAAATCGTGGATCTTAGCGGATATGCAAAGATAGGCTCCTGTGGCCCTCTGGTCACATTTTCATCCACCCACCAATATCAGCAATAATCTCCCCTTATCCACAAGAGATACATTCCAAGACTCTCTCGAGGATGCCTTAGATAGTACAGAATCCTACAGCTATTATGTTTTTTCCTGTTTCTACATTTCTCCAGTCAAGTTTAATTTATACACCAGACACAAAGTGAACATTAATAATCAAATAGAATAGCCATAACAACACAATGGATGATTGTGAGTTCGGTCTCTCCCTCTTAGATAACATCTAAGTATACTACACAGAATGATGTAAGATGAAGCCAGGTGTGTGATATAAGTGTTGTGAGTGTGTCCTCTCACATAAACACTATGATACCGGGAGAGCTGATCTGGTGACTACAAGAGCTACTAAGGACTGGGTAGTGGCGACAGCGTGGATATGCTAGACACTGGGACTATTCTCATGCAGAGAGGGGTGTCGTGGTCAGCACACCAAGTCCTCGTGCAATTCAGAATAGTACTCAATTTAAAACTGATAAATTGTTTATTTCTGGCACTTTCCATTTAATATTTTTGGGCTGTGACTGATAAAGGGTAAATGAAACTTCGGAAAACAAAGCCATGAAAAGTCATGTGGAATCCTTTTTCAATGTTTGTTGTTGACTCATTAGCATAACGCTTGTGGCTGTACAGCACTGAACTCACTCAAGCACAGCTTCTCTAATACACGTCTTTCTTCATACATGAGTCATACATATGTCTCTTCATACATATGTCACAGCCTTCTTGGACTTAGGAACACACTTGAACACTAAGTTTGGGGACTATTTTAAATAGCAACAACAACACCCCATATACACAGGGTTTGAAAACTTGGGCTCGAGATAAGGCAGGAGCAGAGTATGAGAGACAGAGCAAGAAGCAGCGTGCTGACCAGTGAGACTCAGCTGGAAGCAAGCATGCCTGAGAGTTCAAAATCCCACCCCTCCTCCACACCCACAAGCGACTGTGAAAGCAGTCTGGGTCAGGAATGAAACTTACACAAGTAAAATTTAACAAGTAGGCATGCTTGAGGAAAGGTCTGCAGATAAAGACTGCACACTCTCTGCTTCATTGTGCACACATGCTTTACAACTTACAAGCAATTATCAAACATAGAGTACCATTCTCACACAGCCGGTGAAGTCTCTCAGGAAACTCCTGCTGCTGCTGCTTGCCTGGTTCTTGTATCAGAGCTATTGTGCCCAACTCACACGTGACAAAATAGGAGTGTAGTAGGATTGTTGGCTGACATTTTTGCTTATGTTAGGGGACATTGTGAAGCTAAAACAGCAAAGATGCATGCTGGGAACTTGGCTCATTCTTTGGTGGCAGAGATGATTTCTCTGAGAGTCGGAAAACCATCTTCATATACTGAAAGCGCACCCCACATGCGCTGGTGCTGGTTGTAACGTAACAGCTCCGACCCTAATGCATTTCCAAGTTTCGTCTGCCTTATTAAACTTCCTCCTTTGCATCCTTAGGTCTGGAACGCTGTTGAAGTTTTATGTCAACATAAAATTTCATTTCCTTAGGATAAATATGCGGGAGGAAGAGCGGTGTCACATGACCCAGCCCTGCTTAACTTCAGAAGACACTTTCAAGCTGCATCCCAGAGCAGCTGCACCGTCTTTCATCACTCCCAAAGCACAAGTGGTCGGTCTTCTCCTACCCTTGCCAGCCCTCAGATCTGTATTTCCCTAGTGGCTAATGACCTTGAACCTCTCCAGTCCTGTTCTAGTTTGCCATCAGCCCTGTCTTTTCGCTTGTTTTAAGATGTTGTCATATGTGTCCCAGGATGGCCTCAGATCAGCTTTATAGATGAAGATGACCTTGATAGTTTTGGTTCTCCTGCCTTCACCTCTTGAGTGCTGGGGTTGATAGACATTATCACTAAGTTCAGTTTATGCGGGCTGGGGACATTGGCCATGCTATGGACTGAACCACGTCCCCAGCCTTATATTTGCCTTTAATATATCTTATTTCATTTTAACTTTGTGTCATTTCATTTTTAATTAGGTTATATTTAACTTTGACTCACAAATTTCCTGAAAATTTAATAATCCGTTATTGAGCCAGAGGAAGCTGAATTCAGTACTGTGCTCTGTGATCCAAGCTCCTCTCCTTGGGGCAAGTCCTGAGCAAAGCGATGGAGTGGGGGATGGGTGCAGGCC